TTTTTTTTTTAAAGATTTTATTTATTTATTTGACAGAGAGAGAGCACAAGTAGGCAGAGCGGCAGGCAGAGGGAGAGGGAGAAGCAGGCTCCTCACCGAGCAGGGAGCCGGATGTGGGGCTGATCCCAGGAGCCTGGGATCATGACCCGAACCGAAGGCAGACGCTTAACGACTGAGCCACCCAGGCGCCCCCAAAAAATGTTTCTTAATTAGAACATTGGCATTATAAAACCTTACTTGGTTTCAATTTGTAGGTAATCTGTAATAGATAAAGCCTTAAAATAATAGCTTTAAAATTAATTAAGGCTGTGGAATTTTCAAATATTTAAAGAGAATAAATAAAACACCTGGGTACCAACTACCCAGCTTTATCAAACCATAACAATGCCATTTTTGCTTCTGGTTTCTTAAAAGAAATTAAATTCAACAGCAGTGTCAAGGCTGCTTACATGTTTCTCTCACTCCCCTATCTTCATAGAGGTATACAACACCTCATTAACACAATGTAGATCATTCCCATGCACGTTGTTGATGTTTTTAAAATAAACATTATATAATTGTTTTATAGATTTTAAAAACTATAATTACTTTAATTAGCATAAAGCAATGATTTTCCAATCAAATACTGCCCAAAATCTTGGAAGTAATTATTCTTTTTTTTTTTAAGATTTTATTTATTTATTTGACAGAGAGACCCAGGGAGTGAGGGAACACAGCAGAGGGAGTGGGAGAAGGAGAAGCAGGCTTCCCACTGAGCAGGCAGCCTGAGGCGGGGCTCGATCCCAGGACCCCAGGATCACGACCTGAGCCGAAGGCAGACGCTTAACGACTGAGCCACCCAGGTGTCCCAGAAGTAATGTATTCTTAATGGCTAAAGGGATTTAAAAACACAGGTTTTTGTGTACTTTGAGATTGTAATCTCTGGCTTTTTAGCTATTAAACCTAGTCTTAGATTAAGAATAAGAACTATGTCTAGTTAAATTCTCACTGGACTGAAAGGCGGGGTTCAACCTTATCCCAGATGACTGCCAGAATAGGGTATTTTAGAAATAGGGATCATAACTATTTTCCCTCTGCTAGTGGTTCTCAACCAGAGGTAGTATTAGCTGTGAAAGGGGCACCTGGAATTATGTAGGTGCATTTTCTGGCTGTGATTTGCAGGCTTACATGGCATTAGCGGTTGGGGACAACATGGGAGACAACCCTGCACAGAGAAGTGGCGTACCCCAAATGCAAGAGCACGCTGCAAGGGCAGTTCTGGCACAGAGCTCCTCGGCCTGGGTCATTAGCTTTCACTCACTCTCACCACCTGCTTAGCACAACACTTCTCTGCAAAGGAGCAAAAAGAAACACTTAAAAAGAAACTGTCCCTTTTCTATATTCACTGGGTCTCAAACAGTAATAGAGGAGGCCTCATCAAGACATGAGGACTGTTCTAGTCACCATGCTGGATACAAAACAAATTCAATTAACTTCAGGGATTGGAGCTATGACCTAAAGCAAGCCACCATATGCCAATTTCTCTCTTGTTTAACTTACAAAGATATACCTCAGATGGTAAAATATTAATGCACATCCTGGGGCTACCTAGCTAAGGATACAATTACTTCCAGAAGCTGAGAGACTCTTTGTAATTTTAGTCACTCAACACAATATCAAATACAAATTCTGTGTTACAAAATTGAAAGTAGAGGAATTCACAGAAATGGGAAGATTTAAAATTCCCTCTAAATTGTCTTTCACTCCAGGAAAAGCCTAAGTGTCCCGAAATGATGGCTCAGGTTCTGGAGATTTTGGTAGGGAGAGAAAAAGGAGCTAAAAGCATTAAATATGCTGGGAGACTGAGAAGTTATACTGTAGATACAACTGGGTATATGCTTTTATAGTTTTGGTTCAATTTAATAGTTAACTGAGGTCCATTTTGTTCAAGGCACTATGTTAAAAGCTTTGAGGGTCATAAAACAAGCAAACAAAAAATAAGAGCATACACAGAATCTTTGATAAAGATCTCTTGTAAGAAGCACACAATTAAACCCTTAGTTTAAAAAAATCACCTCATCCAAACAATGCTTCTAGTACCTGAGTACTCTTATTATATACTACATTCCTTGCTCAGCCCAGGCAAGGCCCCTCTAGTAACAGTGGAAACTTCCTACTTCTCAGGGTAGACAGCTGTATAATTCTAAATACTAGATAAAGCCCTGGTCCCAACGTACCTTTTTAAAAATTTCTTATTAAAAGGGAATGTTTCTTTCTAATTTCCACCCACTGATCCTGGTTTGTCATTTAAAAAAAAAAAAGTCTGATGCCCTTCCATATGGCAGCCCTTCAAATATGGTCTCCAAAGTGTCTGCTCCCATTGAAACAAAAGGGAACTTCTGGTACAGAATGTGAAGGGAACGCTAGAGAACAGAAACAACATGTACAAGTGTTTCAATTTCTCAAGTTAACTTATTTAGTTTAATTTGGGTTTGTTTGCTTTTTACCTTTGCAGCCTGAGGAGTACAAGCAATATGCACAGTGCTGGGCTTCACCCCATTTGCCTTAGGTCTTTTAAACAAAGCAAACCTACTTTTCCTTCTTCCTCTATCACCGTTTGGGAGCGATCCATTGTACCTGATGGGAGGGAAAAAAGTGTAGGTGATCTCTTGTAAGAACCGCACAATTCTGAAATAAATGCTTTATTTTGCTTTACAATATGGATCAATCTTCAATTAATCATCTATTAGCACACTGTAAGTATCTCAAATTCCCTTCAGTAATTGCTGATCCCTAGACCAGCTGTCTAAGCATGAAACAAAATGAGATTCTGGTTACACTCCCAGTCACAAAGAAGTATTTTTTGGATTATAAATAGCCTTAAATTATCTGTATTTTTCTTTCCTCTTTTATTCAAGATAATCAAGAGCTGATTAATGGCATATCTGATGCCTTATTCTATGTTTTTTAAAAGTGAATGTTTGCCTGTGCTAATACAACCTTTAAAAGTACAGTATGAATTGTCTAAAACAATCTCCTTTAATTGTCAACTAAATACTTTAAATAGCTTAACGTCTGAAATTTTCAGACTCATTTGATAAGTCTGATAAGTCTTAGGACTTGAATGTGCACATACACATTCATATTATATTGGCAAAACTTATCCAACTGAGATGCCTGCTAAATAGTGACTAAACATATTTTTGTCGTTCAGATCTTATGACCACTTCTCCATGATACCATATACATGTGCTGAAAATAAGCAAGTAAGTGAGGACTGGATAGGAAAGAAGTTCACAACAAAACATTTGGGTGTTTACCATGTATTAGGCACTACTGGGTTCTCTACCATACAGCACCTCATTTAATTCATCCTCATAAAAACTCTTGAGATTGGCATCACTCAACTTTTACAATTTGGAATTTAAGTTACTCCTCAGGGGAATAGAATTCCTTAGAGGCTCAGAGAAATTAAGTCATTTTCTGAAAGTCACACAAGGGACAATGGAAAAACTAGAATCTGAATCCAGGCGTTTGTGTCAGGCTTTTTAAAATTCTTCATTGCTTCATTTTGGCATAAGCAATGGCTTAATAATAATCTCTCCTCATTCACTGTTCCCTTCCCCCTGACAAAATCTTTGGTTTGTTTCCTGGTCTCTCATTTATAGTTGGTCAATCTGAGGGAAAATGAGGCACAGACCAGGGACAATTTTGAGGTTGTAGGAGAATGTGATTGTAAAATGGCCTACATTAGTGGCTGACAAGGAAGAGAAGGGACTTTACACACTGCCATATGTAGAAATTATACCGATCCTTTAAAAAATTAACACACTGATTTCTGTTGGACAAAGCCCTTGCCGATCTTGCTAGCCTTGCTGAGAGTTCAGAGTCACACCCCTTAGTTAATACAGTACTAATTCTAGGCTGTGTGTTGCCACCAGCCCCATTTTGGGTCCTGACTGTTCTGTCTGCCTAGTTATATGACTTGTTTCCCTCCTGGGGATATACTCTCTATTCCCAAACATTGTGTTTCTGTAGCTCAAAACTATTCTAATAAAGTAGTAACAACATCAAACTGACAACCTTATCCAGCTTTATTTTTCCTAGAGGACTGGAAAGAAGTATTATTTGTATTTTAAGACACCAAGTGCCAGATACAGAGACAACCATTATTGCCAAGGATTAACTGAGAAACTTCTGGGCTAAGAAAGGCAGTTTAAACCATATAACTAAATTTTAAATTCCAGTCTTCAAATGACTCAGATTTCCTGGTAGAAGAATTTAACTTTGAATAATTTTTGGTAGTTAAAAGTTGTTTGTCATTAATACCTTAAGATCTATGTGATGTGAAGTTGGTAACATTGTAGTTACTATATAATTTTCTAATCTTTTAAATTGTTTTTGAGAAAAAAGATTTTTAGGTCTCAAAGAGCCTGAGATGATCTTGTCTGTCATTTTACCGAAGAGGAAACCAAGATCCAGAATGGTGAAGTGACTTGCCCAAGGTCATGTAACTAGCAATGTTGGAATAGGCACTGGAATCTAGCATTCCTGACTTCTAGTCAAGCTCATTAACTCCATATTATCTTCCGACTTTCTCTTACTCTCTGCTCTGAAACAAGGGACATATTCTCACTTAAACAAGACCTTGTACCAACCTGACTCTAAAACATGTTGTTTTAAATGTCTAAAGTCATATAATTGTTCCTAGAGCTGTTTTCTAGACAGAAGAAAAGAAACATCAGGGGGAAAGTAAAATTTGCAATTTCTAGTTTCTGAAATTTCTAGCTAATAGACTATATTGTGTCTCTGTTTTGACAGTTAATGCAAGTTTTAGACTGAATAAACGGAATCATCTGTTCCTCATTCTTTAGATTGCGTCTGTGTAAGTTGTATGGATGAGAATACGTAGGAAGCAAATGAGCAGTGAGATTCTGGGCTTCAGAGTCATCATATCTTTAGCCTGTACAACTCTATCACATGAAGAATAGGACCATAAGCACAAAGCAACAACTACCTCAGAAGGACAAAGGAACAAATAAATACTAACCTACATGAAATGACCTAAACGGGGAAGGGATTTTGGTAAAGTCAGGTGAGGCAAACTTTTCTAAATGATGGGATAGGGAAGACAAATGGAAAAATTATATGACTTTAGACATTTAGACTGTACATTTTTCACCTTTAAGAAGCTTTATTCTTTCTGGGGTAAGGGTGAGGCAAAGTTTATGCATATGTGAGCACTTACAAGAGATGGCATAAAAATGAGGATTAGAAGAGTTTCTTGATTTTTTTTTTTTTTTTAAAGATTTTACTTATTTATTTGACAGAGAGAAACACAGTGAGAGAGGAAAAACAAGCAGGGGGAGTGGGAGAGGGAGAAGCAGGCTTCCCACAGAGCGGGGAGCCCGATGCAGGGCTCGATCCCAGAACCTTGGGATCATGACCTGAGCCGAAGGCAGACGCTTAACGACTGAGCCACCCAGGCACCCCAAGAGTTTCTTGATTTAACATTATCAATATTATTTTGAGGTAATATTATCCTGTAGCTTTAAATCATTTTTGGACATAGATAGGATATACAATCTAAAAAGTAATTTTAACCTAGATGTCAAAGTTACTATATATTATTCAATTTTATGTGTCATCAGATGGAGAAAACTTACCCTAAGACAATGAGTTCACCATATTTTACTGGTGCTTTGGATGGATGATTTTCTTGATCAGGAGAAAACATGAGCTTGGCTGTCTTTCTCAAATCTTTGTTCACTGGTCAGGAGCCTTGGGACACCTTTTGCATTATCTCCTAGAGAAAGTTTTCATTAATAATGTGAACAATGAATTTCAGTTTAAATAAAGATGTTATTTTCTAGCAGTCCTTGTGAACACAATATTATGCAAAGTTATCATATAATATACAAAGTGTATGACATTTTCCCCAATAGTGGTTATATATTTGGTCCAACTGTTTAAATCGTTTAAAAATATAAATTTGGTAACTTCCACTTCTAGGAAAATGGAGTAGGAGTATTTTTCCCTATTATTTCCACTAACTACAACTACAAACTCTGGATATTATATATAAAACATAAGAAGATTCTGAAAAGTAGAGAGAAGATAGACCAGCTAGGGACCTTGGGGCACAAGGAATTACACAGTGCTGAGTTTCTCTGGGTTTTCTTTATGCTTAATATATCCCAGATTAAGAGCTGAAGAATCCAGCAACCTGGAAATGTCAACTGGCCGAGACAAAAAAAAAAAAAAAATCCACCCAAAAGCTTGCTCTCTCTAGTTAAAGGAGTGAGAAAGGGGCTGCCTTAGCAAGAGAAATAACTTTTGACAATAACCACTCTACTGTAGCCAAACACCACAGAAAACACTGGCCCTACCACTGCCTATACAAGCAAGAGCCAAGTGGGGAGCCTAGATTTCCACCTCATGAGGCCGTAAGGAAGAAACCTAGCCCCCCGCCCCCAACCAGGGTATTGTCAGGGCAGCCAAGTAGGGAGCCAAGACTTCCACCCTGCTGGTTGGTAACATGCCCCCACCTCTACTCTAGCAGTGTCAGGGGAGCCTGGACTTCCACACTCACTTGGCAATAACAAGGATTCCCTTCCCTTTGGGTGTCAATGAAGGCTGACTAGGGAAACTGGACTTCTATGTCTATTTGGCAGTAATAAGGAGGCAGCCACTATTCCCTAGCCAAGGCAGTGACAGAAAAAGACACTGGAAACAGTAGGTGTAGATAACATCCAGAGTCTCAGAACATAACACCAAAATGTCCAGGTTTCAACAGAAACCATTCATTGTATTAAGAACTAGAAAGATTTAAGACAATGCAAAAAGATAATAAAGACAAAAGCTGAGATGAGAGAGATCAGAATTACCTGAAAAGGATCAGAATTACCTGAAAAGGATTTTAAACCAATCATGATAAAAATGTGAAATGCTTTAATAAACAACTGCAAACATATCTGGAACCAAAAAAAAAAGTCTGGACAAAGAAACAAAAATTTAAAATAAGCTCACTTTTTAGGATGGGCTTACCAGCAGAATAAAAGGGACATTATAAAGAATCAGTGAACCAGAAAAGAGAAATTACTTAATCTGAACAATAGAGGGAAAACAGACTAAAAGAAGAAGGAGGAGGAGGAGAAGAGAAGGAAAGGAAAGGAAAGGAAGAAAAAGAAAATGAAGAAAGACCAGAGCCTCATGGACCTGTGGGACCGCAGCAAAAGATCTAACATTTGTATCACTGGAACCCAGAAAGAGAGGAAAGAGAGTAAAGCTGAAAAAGTATTCAAATACTGGCTGGAAACTTGCCAAATTTGGGAAGCGAAACCACACAACCACAGATTCAAGAAACTGAACAAACCTCACAGAGCATAAACCTGAAGAATTCCATGCCAAGATACATCACAGAAGCCAGAAGAAAGTAGCATATATTTTTCAGGTGCTGAAAGAAAAGAACTGTCAACCCAGAATCCTATGCCCAGCAAAAATGGAAGGGAAATCAAGACAGTTTCAGGTGAGGGAAAATTAAAGAGAATTTGTTACCACAGATCTACTCTATCAGAATGGCTAGCAGAAATTCTCTAAGAAAAATGATAAAAGAACCCTGGAACATCAGAAAAGAAGAAAAAACATGGTAAGTAAAAATACAGGTAATACAATAAGCTTTCCTTTTCTTGAATTTCTACAGTATGTCTGAAAGTCAAAGCAAAAATTATTAACACTGTCTGATGTGGTTTCAAATATATGTAAAGGAATATTTAGGACAATTATATATGGCACACCTGGGCATTTATCCTAGAGAAATGAATGAAGACTTATGTTACAAAACCTGTACATGAATGTTTATAGCAGCCTTATTCATAATAGCCAAAAACTGGAAACAATCCAGATGTTCTTTACTGAGTGAATGATTAAACTGTGGTACATCCATGTTGTGGAATAGTACTCAGCAATAAAAAGGAACACACTACTGGTATATATGAAATAACATGGCTGAATCTCTAGAGAATGATGTTGAGTAAAAAAAGCCAACCTCAACAGGTTACAAAAATGATTCTATTTATGTAACACTCTTGAAATGACAGAATTATAGAAATGGGAAACAGATAAATGCTTGCTAGGAGTTAAGGAGGGGGTGGGAGTAAAAGGGAAGTGGGCATGGCTACAGAAAAACAACAGAAAGGACCCCTGTGGTGATGGAAATGTTCTGTATTTTTACCAATGTCAATATTCTGGTTGTGATATTTTACTATAGTTTTGCAAGATATTACCATTGGAGGAAACTGTGTAAAGGATACACAGAATCTCTCTTTGTATTATTTCTTGTGACCACATATGAATCTACAATGATCCCAAATTAAAAAGCTTAATTAAGAAATATAAATTTGACACACATATGAAAAACAAAATATTTCTGATAAGCCAGAAAAAATGCTACAATAAATAATCCCCATAATATTATTATGATTATTTCATCAGCAGCTTAATGGGACCAGTTATTTCCTATATCTGTTCTCTCCATGGTCTTCCTGTTAGACCTGTTACAAAGGTTTTTCACAACAAAACTCTTACTAGCTAACCCATGACAGTCTCCTGATTTTATACTTCCATCAACAAGTTCCATAGGAAACTAATGAATGAAAAATGCCTATTTGTATTTTTCTATAGTAGAGTGAAATACAGCCTCTATAGCAGCACTTTTGGAGAGAAGGCAAAACAGACTATTTGTAGCCCAATGAGTAAGAACAAGTAAAAGGAAAAAGCTTAGCCATTTGACCCTCTTTTATCCGTTGTAACTGACATACACATTTAAACCAGCAATTCAGACACACTAATTTTTATCGTTAGTAAATTTAAAAAACTTATTAAATTATTTTAAATAAATAAAACATGCTTAAGAACTATTAAAAAAACACAATCCCTCCATACAAATACTCTATAAAATCCTCTCATCTCCCCAGAGAAATGTTTTATTTCAGTAAAATAAACTATACTGATCATATCCTCCATTTAGAAAAAGAAATAATATGAAGCTAACTAAAACCTTCAATGTAAAAATTTAAGAGTTCTAAAACAAATTAATTCAGGGGCACCTGGGTGGCTCAGTCGTTAAGCGTCTGCCTTCGGCTCAGGTCATGTTCCCAGGGTCCTGGGATCGAGCCCTGCATCGGGCTCCCTGCTCAGCAGGGAGCCTGCTTCTCCCTCTGACCCTCCTCCCTCTCATGCTCTCTATCATTCTCTCTCTCAATAAATAAATAAATATCCTTAAAAAAATTATTAAAAAAAAACAAACTTGAATTTGATAGAAAATGAACCAGACTTTTCATAGTTGGGAGGAAGGGGGAACTGAGGCACTCTGGGAAGAACATGAACCTTTCATGGTCAGTGAAGCACTGTTTCAAAGGTCTAGTATCCCACTCTTGCAGACAGCCAACTCCCTAGCAGGACTTTACCAAAGCTTCAATTATTCAACCACTAAACAAAGTTCCTTTATTAATGAGTCAGAGATGCTTTCCCAAGAGAACCAGAGATTTAAAGTGTTACATTAAATGCAAATTCTTCACCTATTTCAAGTGAATATTTTTGAAGTGGGGGGTAGATTTGTCCAAGAGTTTTCATTTCTGGTTTCCCACTCTCAGTTATGCAAAAACGAACTCACGGAGACAAATTCAAGTATCTATTTTGAAAAGTATTTACTTAGTTTGAATAAATTAATTGCAAATAAAAATTAGCTACAATATATAGCCTGAATAGAAATGACTAGAACAAATACAACACTGGACTTGATTTCCTTGCATTAGTCACAAAGCATGTGACTATCTAGAAAACTTCAAAATCAATTACATTTCTTTGAAAAGGGGGTAACAGCAGTTACGATACATCACAACTAGTAAACTTATAATACAAGTTTCCTGACATGCATTTCCTGAGTGAACCCAAATGACCATTTTTAAAAACAAGGAAATTTTGACAAGTTGAATTAAAGTAAAATAGTTCATGGCTTCTAAGCAACAGTTTTTTTTTTTTTTTAAACCAAAAGAAAATTCAGAACAGTATAGTAATAGTTATGATAAATTAAAGCTATACTACCACATACGAAAATTTGCTAGAGTCAATTATTACACAACTTGCGAACTGAAGGAAAAACAAATCAAAAGATTAAAAAAAAAAAGATTCTGTCTAATCTAAAAGTGTACTGATTTCTACAAGTGTCACAAAGGGTTTGATGTAGTGCAACTGTCTATACTTCCTTTGTGGTGCATTAAAAAAAGGGGAGGGGAGGGAGTGAAGAAACGTCTTCTTGCTTCTTTAAGCAAAGAACTTACTGGAATTAGAGAATAAACATACCATGCAAGTATGTTCCCCTACTCAGCTGTCACTGGTGCTCATCTGCCAACCAAACATTTCCTTGAGTCACATGGTGGCAACTCTCCTTAGGATTCAAAGCCCACAAAGTTAAGGCTGGTCTGCTAGGTTAAAAAAAAGGGGGGGGGCACTACTGTCATTGAACCCTTTATATCTCTCTACATTTCTTAATGCCTGGATAAGACCACAAACAGAATAATCAATTAAGTATTTCTTTTTCTAAAAGCAAATCAAGTCACTCTCCTCCTTGTTAATTTATGCTTTTTCTCATGAGAATGATTTTTTTTTCTAGAAACAGTGAACAGATGAACCACAGTTTATATCTAAAAAATAAACTTGCCAAATGTTGCTGATACTAAAAACAGATTAGTTATCATGGGAGAAAAATAGATAATCTAGATTAAATTGCATATTCAAAGGAGCATATAAAATGTTTCTTAGCATTAAGTTTTTGTTATATACTACACTTGAGAGAAACATTAAGAAAAAACTTTCCTGATTATATTCAATGTGGTTAAAAACAAACACCTCTTACACAATAATAATTAATATGAATTTGGTTTTACAAAGTATTTTAATTTACCAAATTCCATATTTAGAAGGGGGCAGGGAGAGAGGCTCTCTTGTCCTTCTTTCTAAGCTTGTAAATCCTTGAGCTATGCTTGCTAAACTACCATTCACACCGAAAGTGTGACACCATCGTTACCATGCTACTCTATCAAGAACATTCTAAGATGTTTTCTATAATAAAGATAAATAGAAAAAAGTTAATATACATGTTGCTGTATTTTACAATGTTTGCAACAAACTGTAAACTAACATAGTTTGAACCAACAGTACCCTCAGTTATATAAAACAATTTTCCAACACTGAGGATGGGTGATTCAAAAACACTAAAAGGAAGGCAACAAATTAGATTGCATCTTTTTATCCTCAAAATATATTTTCAAAACTCAGAATTCAAAGTCTGGTACTTTCAGAAATTCTTTTTCTTGAGTTTCCCAGATTTTTTGATCAGAAATTGTTACTACTTATTATAAATGTTTAAAAAAATTCTTCATCTTAATGCAAATGACCAGAGCAGAGAAACTGTGACATGGACAACAGGTTGGAAAACCCAACTCACTTAGCTTATAAATTTTATAATATAGTCCTGGAGGACAACTGTCTGTTAATCTAGAGGTCCTTGGAAAATAAGTCTGATGTAGCCTTGTTCACCAGCCAACTGATGTGCACAAAAGGGGCAGGCTGCATGAAAAGTATGAGTACCATGAGGAAGCGGGATCTGGGACCAATAGGCAGTTGTCTTTTCTGAACACACATGCCCACATGGGCTGAATGCATGGGTTGGAGGGCCGGCGTCCACATAAAATCCAGCTTCACATCCAAGCCACAGAGGGACATAGGGACCAACAGACCTACACATGGGACATTCACGATCTTTTCCATCACGTTCTTCTTTGTTTCCCCAGTTATGATAGCCATGTACATGGCCGCAGTTTAGATACACCCATGGTTGTTTTTCATCGACAACATCTTTCCTCTTCATACTAGGAAATGCTAGTGTGTTGAACCCTACAGGGCACTGAGGTCGTGCTGCATTGATTTCCTGTCTTAAAGCTTCTAAATGCTTCACTGTAGGAGTGTGGGAAAGGCCTTCTGCAGTACGCCACAGCAATGTTGCACCACAGAGGTCAATTAATGAGCCATCTTGTAACTGATTGGTTTCAATTTCCACCTAGAAGAAACAAGAATCAAAAAACATTCAACACTGTGTTCTCAATTTTTACATGAGAGTTTTGGTCTTACATGCTCCTTACTCAAGAATCGAGATTTCCTGTGATTGTTACTAAATGTAAGAAACTCTAATGGCAGTCATGAAAAATATAAGTTTGAAAATCAAGGATAAAATGTGGAGCAGGAACATATTTCTTTTCAGCCTTATAGTGAAGACTACTTATGATTAAAACATCTGGCTACTCAGTAAGTCTAATATTTCCCATATACATCATGGTCAAAGAGATATAAATAGAAACTACACAGTGCTATTTAATTTAGGAAAGCTTAGGTTTTGAAATATATTAACATAATATGAAAGAACAAATTTTTAAAGTGTCCTGATTGAAATATTAAGATATTACCCTCTAGTATAATATTTAGCGGTCAGACTTAGCACTCTTTGTCAGCATTTGAGAGTTTTGGGAATTATGTAATACATTCAGTCCAACTCACCCAATGTGTTTACTGGAGCTAAATAAGAGGCTACATCTCAATACTTACCATTTTTCCTCTCTGCTGAGCTGATCTGGTTTCCCGCAGGCTGAATACATTTCCACACACTGATATTTCTCTCCATATTCCAGGCTTGGAGTCTTCTGTGAACCCATTGCGTGGATGCATAACAAGAACGCCATTAGTGGTCAAACCATCCATCTGCCCATCTGATGTCTTCCACTTGGCAGCCTTCTCCTAGTAGCAATAAGAATAGTGAGCTTCCAGTTCTTTGTAATTTGGAAACAGAAGTGGTTAAAAATAATGCACCATTTAGGAAAAAGCTTTTTACCCCAAGAAAGATGTTTTTTGATGAGTCAAATCCTGCAGCATAAATCCGTGCTGTAAAGGGCGGATTCCGTTCACAGATGATTCTACAGGCAAATCTTGATATAGTGCTTTGCACTGACTGTGTATCAGAATTACTTTGGCTTCCAGGAACTGTGTCAGTTACCACAAAATCAATGGGACTTTCAGTCGACCGACCAATCTAAGGGAAAAAGAAATATCTATAAACCTATTGAAAGGAACACAGTGGAAAATCCATTCAAGAAAGGTACAAGAAGATGAAATCATTAAGCCTCTGAAATTTCTAAAGCTCAAACTTATACTTAACTCTGAGGGCATCTATACCCTAGAAAACTAATCTGTCAAACTTGTTCTGACATAATAATTATTTAGAGCATAGGAGTAAATGGGAACTTACCATCCAGAATATATGAAACCCTCAGGGAATGCAGAGTTTAGGATGGCTGAGATTCCTAGATGGCTGCAGATTTTAATTTTAACCCCTTTGGATGGAAATATGCCTACCATGTATTATTCTGCCTTCTTTAACAGAATATAGTGAACATACAAGTAAATCTTTTATGATGTCTCCAGGACAATAAACTATAAATACCATTTATATTACACTGAATGCAGTGATGTCTTCAGGTGCTATAAAGGTGTACAAGAAGGCTGATCCTTATGTTATGGGCTTACATAGCTTTCTTTGAGGTCTTATATATACTTTATATTCTCATGTGTTCTGTCAGGTTGTCAGCTATCACTTCTTGCTGTTGGGCATACTTGACTCTGGCAGCATACCCCTCCTCTAACTAGTCACTATTATTCTGCTGTGGGCTGAGAAACTAAACTTTAAAGGATAGCATTTCAAAAGGTTCTTGGTAAGTTCCTAAAGGATTCTCCAGGGAGCAAAGAAAAGGAATTTTAGTGCATGGCCTTTTGTGGCCTTTATTTTATAGGCCTGGATGTCCTTTTTATTTTCTTCCTGGTTCTTGGCCATATTTAAGAGAGACAAGGTTCCCAGATAAGAGTTCTGGTGGATGGGTTGGCAAATTAAAACATCTTCAGAGGTACTAGCTAGGAAATATATTAATTTTCATTTTGAAAGATGAAAGTTGAGAAGAAAAAAGGAAATAGATGACAGAACTGATTGTCACAGGGTTTTAAAGTAAACATTTAAAAATGAAAAGAAAAAAGGAAATCTGTGGAAGAGATGACAGACCTGACAAGTGTCACAGGGTTTTAAAGTAAACATTTAAAAATGATGAGTTCATTCATGTATTTGTTATAAAGTAGTATAAAATTGAAGGAAGTGGATACTGAGAAAAAACACTGACCCTCTACAACGATGATGACACTTCAAAGTCATTCTTTGCATAGTTGAGCCTCAAGAATTCCTCATAACCACACACTTTCGGATAAAATCCTTTTAGCATTTTTGTCCTATCAAGTATAAGTCTTTCTTTAGTTTGGATAGTTTTAGAAGAAAACTGGCTGGTTAACAAAAGGGACTGGATGTCCCTTTTCCTGCTTTTTAAGATAAGGATATACAAAGAAAATGGTCTCAGACTTTTGAAACTAAAAATATTTCTAAGAATAAAAGGCTATTTTAGATCTAAAAGATGTAGGCCCAGGAATGGATTGAGGATTGATTTTTTGAATCACGATATTCAGAAGTGGCATTTATTTGGGAGGAGAGATTGTTCCAAGAGAGTTGAGATTTGCTCTGGGTCTTAGAGGAGATTTAAGACATCAAAGCAATATTGGTCAAGACAGGTAAGAAGGAAGAAATCTTAAGTATCTATAAAGAGAAAAAACCTATGTGATCATGATCAGATGCCAAAATATAACTGTGCGTTAAGATAAATTTTAGTAATTCCTCTTCTAACTGCTACTATTAGCTTTAAAAATATAGATCTTATCATGTCATTCCCTCCCACTCTCATTAAAAACCCTAATGGTTCCTTACAGACTATCCAAACTTCTTAGTTTATTTCTGTAATAATTAGAAACTGACCTCACAATTTGCTTCCCACTGATCCAGCTTAATTTCCTATCATTGCTAATCACACGAAAAGTATATTCTAGCTACAAGCAACTCACTTGTCAATCTTCTACCACACTGTGTACTTTGCCATCTCTTTTGTCAGAATGCCTTTCTACTGGCTGGACTGACAAAATCCCTACTCAACTTGATTAAAAAAAAAATTCCGGGGCGCCTGGGTGGCTCAGTTGGTTAAGTGACTGCCTTCGGCCCAGGTCATGATCCTGGAGTCCCTGGATCGAGTCCCGCATCGGGCTTCCTG